TTCTGAAAAAAAAATACCTTAAACTTTTTCTTAGATTTTATTATTTTCCTTCGGAAATCGTATAGCCTTGGCCATAATTATAAAGCACCCTCGATTTATTGCATTTTCTTGGAAAAGGTGGTAATATAAAAGCCAAAAGAAAATTAATAAAATATTAAAATTGCCATGAAAATAAATATTATTTTTCAATAAAACTGTCTTTTAATTTATTTTTCGTTAGATATAGAATTACGTTAATTTGTGGGGGGTGCTTTATACTTATAGTTAGGGATATAGAATATGGATGCTTTCCATTTAATTAATGATACAGACCGACACAAGAATCAAGTTTTATTTTTTACTCACTACTAAATGCTAAATACTAAGAAAGATAGAATGACGTTTGTGTCGAATTGTGTCACTAAATGGAAAGCATACTATATGTCATGAGAAAAATTTAATTCTTAAAAATTTTAGAATATTTCAGAATTCACTTATATAAAGAATTATAGAAATGTAGATTTTCTTAACATTTCTGAAATGTTCCAATTTGTTTAAAATATCTAAAAAATTTTTTTAGAAAGCTATACAATTATACAGTATTCTGAAAAATTCTGAAATTTAGAAATTCTGAGAAATTACACGAATTCTCAGAAAAATTTTCACCAGGGATACATCTTTCAACGAGACGCAAGTGGGAATAATTTTATGTATTTAATGTCTGATGCGACATTAAGGTGCGATATGGAGACTCGCAAATCTTTCTTGCGATTACAATTTTTCGGGGACGCAAGCTCCACGAAGTTCACGCCCAGGATTCTGTCTGAAGATTTAGCGTTCGAAGGATTGGTTTATGAAGAACAATTTATTTTGCTGGAAAGCGATGGAAACATTCGTGGAGGGGAAACACAAGACAAAATCCACTGGCGAGGCTCACGGTCGTAATTTTCCCTCTCATAATCGGCATTAATTAAGTACCAGCTACCCGTTCTCGGCTGCCGCAGTTCTCTCACACATCAGTCGTCGTCGTAGACTTGCGATGAAATAAAGTACAATGGTTCTTCATTGGCAAAACGACGTTTGATATTGATACAAATAAATTATCGTTTTTTTCCCCCTCTCCTGATACACATTTATAATCGCTACATGCAACACACTCGATTTGGCACTACCTTTACTAGTCGCGAAAAGAATCCCGATGCCGACGTGTGTGAAATCCTGAACTGGAGCTCGGTAAGATCGCGCGGTAGAAACACAGGATTTCGAATATGACCATATATATGCGTTTTCTCCGGATAAGGCACGTAGTGAGGTGCGCAAGCTGTATGTCGAATCGAAACGGAAACTCGGTGCCGGCGAAACGTGCACGAGAGGAAGGCTCACAAAGTGCTCTATCGGGATTAATAATAGTGCCATCGAATACAGCTATCCGTAAAAGTCTACTTAAGCTAACGATTATCGATGTGCGGCTTAAAAGTAATTATTTCACTTATTAAGCATAAAATGTGTGTGTCGCCGTGATTGAACCGCACAGGTTGGCTCTCAGAACGGAATTTATATATATATATGCATATAATCATCACATGTATATCAACAGATTTGTATTTCCATCATCACTACAACTGATTTTACTCGGCAAATCTTATGTCGAGGATTTAGCATTGCGCGCGCGCGTGTGTATGCGTGATAGTTGCAATATGGCAAAGGAAATTGCGTGGAGTCGAGTGCGAATTTTTCACTGTTACAAACCTACTCGTGTCCTACTCGTTAACAATAATTAAATAGCGAAAATTCACGAAAACAGCACATACATATTGTTTGCAGAGGAGCGAAGACTGCGAAATATGTCCTTTACCATATCATAAGGCGATCAACGCTGCAGTTCGTGTAAAAAAAAAAAATCGGTAAAATACAGAATCACGTTGAGCCGTGCGAGCGAATAATCGATTTTTCATGAACTTATTCGTATTCTTTTTAAACTTTGATTTCATTTCTAGCTGCGGCTTACAATACATGTATCACACAATTAGAATTTTCATAAAGTACAATGAAATTAAAATACTGTATGCTTTATAAGATCCATTAAAAAAATTAAAGTGTCATAAAACGTTATTGTTATCATCGATTTCTAAGCGTAACAAAGTCGCAAATATATGTATCTTTACGAGATACAAGAGTATGTTACCCGGATACATGTCGTAAATTGTGGTTGTGCTAACACAATCTGTTAAATCGTATCGCCTTTCTCCATTGTCATTTCGCCATGATCACGTGATTCTGATTTTACCCATTTTATGATGTATATTATATTTTACAAAAGATAACTTAATTTAAAAATTTTCGAGACGTACGAGGTAAAAATTTTTCGATCTACTCTCTTTCTCTCGCTCTCCCTTTCTCGCTACGTCTAAGAATTGTGAAAATATTAATTTGCTCTATCGTAAGTCTATTTAATTAAGTACAAAAGAGTTTTATTTCAACATTGTCTATCCTTTTTTTTCCTAGCATGAAACATATATTATATATATATATATATATATATATATATATATATATATGTCGCATATATATAATATATGCAATTAATCTGTATATGATACATAAACATGATAACTCTGTGTGTGTGTGTGTGTATATTCCATTGGTTTCTTCATGTAACTAAAGCCTTGCTATTCAAGAGAAACTGCTCTTATATTTTGAAAAAATAAGTTAAACTATCAAGCATTTTCTCTGTGTCTTTGCTCTTCTAAGTTTGCTTCTATTTATACATGAAATTACATACCGCACTTTTCGCGGTACATCTTTATCCCGTCTGATACATTAACCACAAAGAAAAAAAAAAAAGAAATAACGATCGAATACTAATATTTACATAACGTAATTACGAATGATACAATTCGGTTATGCAAAACTACAGCCATTATTGATTAGAGTAAGTGTATACCCTTAAGCCAGTACATGGATGTTTTTTTTTTATGTATCCGCCCTGTTCGATTGTCCTCGTGAACGTTGACAATGTCAGACACACACTTGAGCAGTTCGTTATTACCGATGTGTTGTAACAAGTATGCTGTTTGCCGAACTACCTACGCCCTGCAATCAACCGTTAGAATCTGAAGGAAGCGAAAGTATCAAAAGCTAAGATCCGCTGGCGAAAATTCACTGATTTACACGTGTACATTTATATGTGCCAAGCTTATCCTTTTCACTGTCGTCCTGAGAAATAGCATTTAGCCGTTTTTTTTTTTTTCATTAGCTTTTGGTACTCTCCGGATCTTGGCAAATGTACCAATTAAGAACATTATCCCGAGAGTTTAGAACGCGATCGAGGTTGTTTTATTCAGTGATGGAGATCTGAGCAAATCCTATCAACGCCTTGTCATCCGGTACTTCGTTCACCGCATAACCAGTGTTCTGTAACAGCAAGAGACAGTAATTATATATTTAATAAACATCAAATCAAATTATAAAAATACATATTTGTTAGAGATATTATGTATTGTGTAATATTTAAATATAATATAAATTATATAAAAATATAGGTCTATTTATTAAAGATATTATATATTGTGTAATATTTAAATATAATTTATATTTTTATAACGAATTGGACAAAGATTTTTATAGATTTTTTGTCACTGAAAACAACAAATCCGAAAATGAAATTGCTTTATCACACGTTACATTTTATAGAAAATTAGACTACAAAATACCAAAAAAAAAAAAAAAAAGAAACAAATGTATGCAGAATTACTTTATTCGTTTTATGGTCTAAGAAAAAAAATTCTTGAATTTGTAACATAAACTAATATTTACCAAGGAAAACGTCACTGTTCGCAATTGTCCTCCACTCTCTATCAACTTTTTTAGATTTGTTTCTATCACCACAACGTCCTTGCCGTCGACCAAGCCTGCAGCGACCAATTCCGCCGCGATTCCCTGTGTAGAATCAACTCCAACGGTAAAGTCAAACCTAATGTCATTCAGCTCCCGTTTCTCATTCCTGAAAGAGATATCTTGATTATCTTTTACTTAGTTTAAAAAAGATAAAGTGGGACTTGACATAATTAAAAATAAAAAATTATACACGAGAGAATAATTCTCATATTTGGGTTTCACGTACCGTAATCTAAGCACCAGGTTAATAGGCTCGTTTTGTCCGGTAGCTAAAATTGATATTTGGCTCGGTGCTACTTTGATCTGACCGTAGCTTTCGTCGGGCTCGCCGGCCTCTTCGTCGCTACTGGCCTTTTCGATTGTGTTGACCGGTAACGTCTCCTTGCCCTCGTCGCTACTCGAGTCACCGTTGTTCTCCTCTTCCGACCAGACCCACTCTCCAGTCACCGTTCGATGCAAGCGGCCCGATGTGCCGGGTTGCCTCTTTGATGCCTGCAAAAGCAAGTTTCTTTTGTTTAATATTTTTTATAACGAGTAAAACGCAATTCTATTACTTGTAACTCCCGTATACAAGCTTAATAAAAAAATATTTATATATTTTATAAATGTAACTTCTCCAGACGGTCTCTCCTCCATATTTCCACGCTTCCATTAAGATTCCCATAAATTTACATGTATTGTATAGATAATATAAAAACGTACCTTTTGTACACGTGTTTCTAAACTGGGTCCAATCGCCACTAACGTCTGCTGCAGATATTTCTTATCTTTGGCTTTCTTGAAAAAGGGATGTTTCAGCAACTCGGTGGCCGTTGGTCTGAAAATTATACAAATCATTATTTATAATAACATATTTATCTTACAATTTTACACATTCCGTTTCTTAACTGTTTTACTTAACGATCTGTATAATATTATAAAATCATATTATGACATATAGTACCAAAGACTTCCAACTCTTTTAGTTTGAATATACACCTAGAATGTCACTCGTTTACGCCAGCTATTCTAACTGCTTCGGCAAACGTCAAATAGAAGTAGCAGAAAGTAAACGGAACAAGCGCTTACCTCTTCGTAGGATCTTTTTGTAAACAGTCGATGATCATTTTTCGGAATGTCTTCCCGTACGCTTTGTATTGGTCCTTGTCGTCCGCAGCGGTATCCAGAGTCGGCGGATCGTTCTGCAGCGTCAGCATCAAGACCTTCATCGGGGGATATTTGTGGTACGGCGCCGTGCCGCTTGCCATCTCGATCGCCGTGATGCCAAGTGACCATATATCGGCCTTAAAATCGTAGCCATGGTCCTGCACAAACAGACACGCATATCATAATTGATTTTACAGTGGATAGTAGACGTGAGATTGCCAATATCTCATGAAATCGTGCTTGCAGAAGTCGCATGCTTGCCAGAGATTCTTTAAATGTGACTTATAACTGCGGTCTCATACACAGGATAGTATGGCTCGCCATACAGAAAATGTTTCTGATCGATTTTTTGATGAATTTGATGATATCGATTTCTCTCGATACAGCAGTTCTCAAACTTTATTCTGCAAAGCATCGTTGCTAGTTTCCAAAAAGTCATTATACCTATATATAAATTAAGAAATTTTTAAATAGTTATTTAAGAATCAAGTAAAAAAATGTATATACAATTAATATCCAGAGCTCCACTTCTCTGGGCATAAATAAAAGTACGAGAACTGACTGTGTTTTGACGAAACAAGACGAACAGTAATATAATACAGACATGAAATAGAACAAAGTAAGATAATGGCGTGATAATGATTGAATATAAAAAAAAACAACCTATTTTGCGAAAAATTTGCGTAGCGCAATATGTCCTCAGTGCAATATTCTATGTGGCTACTTGCATAACATGCCTAACGCAGATCATGCTCAACAAAATAACGTGATTGCTAATTCAAATTAATTCTCGGTTCAACGAGACGAGATATAAAAGCATATCCTCATGTCGCACGCAACGGCAAAGTCGAGACACTCTGACGCATTACAAGGTCTCGTGTGTCGCCTCGAACGATAGCGCATAGCCAGTATCTTGCCAGTTCGCAAACGCACGGGGGGGTTTCGCCAAAACGTACACATTTCCCGTCCCGATAAAGAAGTGTATCGTGTACATTTAACAAACGCATAACACAAATGTAGACACAGAGAACACGCAGGCTAAGAAGTCTGTAGTGTTACTTTCCTCTCTCACCTGCTCCATGACCTCGGGCGCCATCCAACACGGCGTACCGACGAAGGTGTGCCGGACCTTTTGCCGGCTCAAGTCGCGTCCGGTCGCGAGCCACGCGCTGACACCGAAATCGGCGATCTGCACCGTGCCATCCTCGCCTAGTAGGATATTACCCGCTTTTATGTCCCTAATATTATTCTGCCGTTAAAATTTGTCTTGATACGTAGATAATAAAACAGCTATATACATACTTCAAGGCCAAATGTTTGGAAACGCTTTTTAAAAATTGACATCCTTGGAATTACTTACTCAAATATCCATATTTGTTACATCTTTTAAAAATAATTCTTTAAATCCAATAATTATCGCATGAAATCAAAAATATTGTTTATCTGTCGGCGTTTCACATAATTGTCATCTAATTTATTTACGTTTTTATTGGTGTTTTCAAACTTTTGGCCTGAAGCTAATCCCGCTATCTTTCTAATAATTTCACTCTAATAATTTCATTCTAATAATTGAACAACAGAACAGATCAAGGAGAAAGAAAACAAACACGTTCCAAGGTTGTATTTTCGTATTAGGGACGACAATCCATAAGACACCGACGTGTTTCACAATACCTGTGAATCTGTCCGTTGCTGTGGAAATATTCAAGTCCCTTGAGTACTTCTCGAAGCACCGTGGCTATGGTGGCCTCATCGAACACCCCGTGCTTGCAATTGGTGGTCCTGGTTTTATGTTTGATGATGTCCAACAAAGATCCACCTTCCAGCAATCTTAGGACGAGCCAGAGCTCCTCTTTCACCACGAATGACGTGTAGTACGTCACGACGTTTTCGTGGTTGCAAGATGACATCGCCTGTATCTCTTTCTAAAGTTTCGTCACATAAACAGTCTCGATTAATAATAACTTCTTGTCCGTGCACACGAAAGGAAGATATTAAGTTTTAATTTTCTTTCGGTTAACTCGTGAAGAAATTCCGATAAGTACAAATTATATATCATAATAAAGGGCTGAACTATTGTTTCTTAAACTTAATATATAACTATATATAAATATATAATTATATATAAACATATAATTTGATAAGCATATTTGTTATTCAAAGCCAGAATTCGAAACCAAATGATTATTTTGTAGTCAGATTTATCGTCAATCGCTCGAAAATCTCCAAGTTACACATGTTTAAGTAACAACAGAGTCCTAGCCACTTAATTGTTTCCGATATCTTGATGTCTTACTTAACAACTTTTTATCAATAAATGCAACAGCATTGTTTTTGATCCCGATGTTTTCTCAAGATAAGCGATATATACACCATTCGGCTCCGCTTAAGTAATCCTTTAATATGATATATAATTTGTACATATTGGAACTTCTTTGCGCGTGTTAGAAAAATAAACAGCTAAACCCTCTTTGCCAGTTTGACTTATTGGAAAAAGATTTGTCCGGGGATAAATCTTTTGTGACAATTTCGGATAACATCTCGTTGAGATAAGAATACTCAACAGCACTACATTGTGGTGCTCGATACGAAACGCTTGCATCATGCTGGATGCAGCATACGTTACAATCGATAAGATCGTTAATCCAATGAATCATACAATACATGAGTCTTATCAAGAGGTGCATGGTGTGCGTGCCGTGTGTGAAGTCCAATGTCAAGATTACAATAAAAAAAACTCACCAGCAGCTCGTCCATGTTCGTGTTCCATTTCTCCAAATTTATCCGCTTGATCGCGCATTTCTCTTGCCGCGGAATGCAAAACGCTGCGTGCACCACGGCGGTCGCTCCAACCCCTTGAATTAAACGAAGGGAAATTAATAGGAGGAATTATCAAGAGAAATTTCTTGTGTCTTCCTATATATCCGCTTATCGATCGCGCAAATCTTAATGGCAAAAACGCTTGCCTAATTAAACCTCGAGATTTGGAAACTCGGCTGCACAGAGATCTATTTATAAATACACGGCGATATATATTTCGGCGTGTGACCGAGATACGCTTAAATTTCAAGAGGCATCGATATTTTTACTCGTTACGTAGGCAATTTTAATCGAAAGTATCGGTGAATTTTCGCGAAGCCCCGCGATGAGCCGACCACGAAATTGCGGCTAAAAATGGCGCGACGTTGGCGTATAGGCGAGCCGCTAAATAATTTAGCTCCGCCAACTTGCACCTGGTCTCCTCACAAATATAATACACAATCGGGAAAACAGCAGCTGCAAGGAGCGCAACTCACCTCCCGAGTTCTAAATAGTCTAAATCATTTTCTAACATAAGAAGCTACATTCTTCCAAATATTTATGTGACGTTAGTAATGTAGTAGACATGCAATCCTATCAAAACACTAATAAAATAGACACATGGCTCTATCGCGAGGACTTACTGGAATTCTTGTTACATCAAAATATTAATAAAATAGGTACATGGGCTCTATCGCGAGGATTTGCTGGAATTCTTGTCTCGAAACATAAATATACGAATTTTTCACAGGAAGATTTTTACAATATTTACGTGCTCCTAGAAATATCTAGGAGTAAGATAATATAAAAATAAGATCGACAATTGATTGTCACCGAATTGGATTACGGTGAATCGAAAGGCAAATTTGTTTTACCAAAGTAACATTATTCATTCGTTGTAATCTGTAAGGGAAAGATCTTGAACTTCGTGCCGCGCTGGTTGCTTTCGCGCACAAATCGGCTCGCGTGGCACGGCGCCGGTGGGTCCCCTGGCCGGCAGCACCCTCCCCGACCGGCCCGATCTCATACGGCACTGGTACGCGCGCACCGTCCCGGCGGCAAGTTAACTAGGTTAGGGTAGGACACTCTCGTGCAGCCAGCACCGGCAGCCGCGTGACAGCGCGAGTGCGATAAGGATGCGCGGAACGGAAGCGAGAGGGGCGATCGGCGACGTCGTCGTCGTGCCTTTCCGGCGAGGAAAAGGGGGAAATAGAGCAACGAGCGGAACGACGGAGTCACGCTCGACGGGCCGAGCGACGGAAGATAGCAATGACGACGTCCTCGGCGTTACCGACGTTCACTGTCATTTGTCACCCTCGTCGCCGATGCCCCCGCGGTCTTTGCCCCATTATCGGGAAGCGAACGGCCACCAGCCGTTCGGGATCGACGCCGGCGGCGGCGGCGGCGGCGGTAGCGCGCGTCCCCGTGGCCGCGGGCGACGTTCGAGCGAGACGCGCGCGCGACCATCCGCACGCTCGCACCGCGCGATCGTCGCCCCGACCGGACGAGTCCCGCCTCGGCGATCCGGTACTCACCGATAACCTCCTTGAGCTCGTAATCGTCCTTGGTATTCGGCCAGCCCTGCACGACCGTGGAGGTGCTCGCGGACGCCATTTTGCTGGCCAGTGCCGTGCCGAGGCGCGCGTGCTTGCTGGCCGTTCGGGCGCCCCGCGACAACGACAGCGAAGCGGTGCTGCTGCTGCTGCTGTTGGCGGTCCGCGAGCCGCCGTCACGTGGTGGAGCGGCGGCTGGGCTGGGGACGCCGGCGGGGACGGCTGTGCGAGAGGCGCAGCGGTCGTTCGCCGCGGGTGCGCCTCGGCTGTTCCGGGTGGCTAGCGACGAGGTTGCCGCTGTCGTCGGCACCCTCGACGGCGGCGGTGTGGATGAGCGAAACGACTTCTGGCGAAACACGCCCGGCGAGCACGACGGCAGCACGTCCGGCGAGATCCTCCTGAAAGGAGACGCGCGCGATTAGTTTGAAGGAATTTAATTCGACTGTCAAGTCTGTCGGTTGACTGTGTTTGAGCTTTTTAAATGCCAGACCGATTAACTGTACTTTTGATAAATTTCTTATCGAGTTAAATACAAATTAATCCTGATATTAAAATTTAATTTGCAATCTTTCAATTTTATTCACTTTGTATTTTATAAAGGTGACTGTAGTTTAGCTCTGAAGAAGTTCAATTTCTAAATAATAAATATTTACATGGAAAAGACAGAACATTGCACCGAAGATCTGATTCTTTAATGTTAAACTTTTAGAATAAAGATTTTTCGTCTCTCCCGAACTCGACGCAATACTTATAGCACGACTGAAAATTCAAGATTCAATGCACGTGTTCAAACTTGTCCCAATTTGTTCTAGCTGAGAACATTGATTTGAGTTGAACCAATTCACTTGTACTTAAATTCTGTTCGTTATCGCTGTACTAGACACTAGACTATACTAAATTTTCTTTCTCGCTTTCGCCAAACTTTAAATATTTGTTTCACTTTAAGTACGAAGACTTATATAGTTTGGTGAAAGCGAGAAAAAAAGCTTTGAGTGAGAAAGAAAAGAAAGAGAGAAGAAATTTTCTTTCTCGCTTTCGCTCAACTTCAAACAAATATACATCCGTTTCATTTTAAGTACGAAGAACAGATTTATAACGAACTTGACTGGACCACCAGTCACCAGTGTGTATTCAGTGCACGTGTAAAGGCGTCTATAATGAGACAGATTTAAGAAAATTGACCAATCATAATCGATTATTTTTCTCACGAGAGATGAATAATCGACTATAATTGGTCAATTTTCTTAAATCTTAAGTCTTAAAGTCTTATTGCAGACGACGTACAACGCCGTTGTATACACTGTTCCAGTCTCAATGTGAAATATCTCGAGTAATAAAATAATGCATATTTTACCAAATAATACAATAAAGTACTGTTAAGAATTATCGCGGTTTAATATTTCTATATTTATATTACATACGTCGATAATTTTAATTAACCGAATTCACTTTCATTATTTATGTGCTATTTAATTAAAAAATTTCATATTTTAATTGTAGGTATGATAAAAATAAAAAATAAAAAATAATTTAAAGATAAGATTTGACTAATAGTTATAAAAGGGATAATGACTAATAGTTATAAAAGTTGATAAATAGTCAATATAAAATTTGAGTGGGGGGGGTAGAAGGTTGAAGGAATTATTTTATTGTTATTATTATAGTTTGGTGAAAGCGAGAAAAAAAATTTGAGTGAGAAAGAAATGTGCAGCAATAAATCTGATTTTTTTTTATCGCTGCTGCTAAAACTTTCTATGTCACTTTCGCCAAATATATTACACCCATTTCATTTTAAGTAGTACGAGTGTATATTCGTCCAGCTACAAAGAACAAATCTAAAAGTGACAAAAGAGAAAAGAAGAGAAAAATAAAAAGGGAATTGCGCGAGAAATTAAATCTCGAGCTTGATGAAGACACGCTCATCCCAATTTCCTATTATCGAGACGCTGCAGTCCCGTCAAAAAGAGTCCACCGAGAATCAGCCCGCGTTCTCGATTCATTGAAACGATTGACATTTCTCGAGAGTAAAACAGAACGATGACGAGTCGCGCCGTCGGCCTGTATGCACAACAAATTAATCGTAGGCCCATCCATCACGTCCTCGCAACGATCGTCTCGAGGCGGCGCTTCTAATTATTAAGTAGTGTGAGCGGCAATCAGTGACGCCGATCGCTTTAATTGGCCCGAAAGATAAAGCTGCTCCCCACCGGTCATATAAGTATCCGCGGTACTGCATTGAACAAATATATTATCGGAATTTGCCTCTACTAAAATTATTCGTCAAAATTCTTATATTCTTCAAATTCTGTGCGAAGCCGGCCCTTATAAATATATTGTTGCCACTACGTTTTTCTCCGAGTGTATACGATAACAATAAATGACAGAGTGGTAAATGTTGAAATTAACTGCACAACCTTTGACGTCACAATAACACTTCAGAGATGGGCGGCGGAAAAAGAGGAAATAATTTCGTGATATCAATTAAATTCATACGCGAGTTCTGCGATTTTCCGTTCGTGACCGCGTGTCACTCTTTCTCCTCGAAACGCGTTAATCTTGAATGTAACAAGATGGTTTACAGTCTGAAGAGAAAAATGTTGCGGTGGCAACTACAAAGGTGACAATTGTCCAAGTTTTAATTGTAGAATTAATGTATATAGTGAATACATCATTTTATAGTGGTTGCAACTGTGGTAAAGTTTGTTCAGTCATGCACATTAATTCTACATATAAAACTTGGCCAATTGTCACCCTGAAAGGTGACTTTTAACGTAAGCGATGAGACTGCGGACAAGAAAAAATAAAAAATGGGGAACAGAGAACAAGAATTTCAATCTATATCAGAAACCGTGCACTCTGTGGAATACACGGTTTCTAACAGCCAAAATTCTTATTCTTCAAATTTTGCGCGGAGCCTCTTACAGTTTGCCCCACCACGTTTTTCTCCGAGTGTATACGATAACGATAAATGACAGAGATGATAAATGTTGAAATTAACACCTTCGACGTCACATTAACACTTCAGAGATGGGCGGCGGGGAAAGGGGGAAATAATTTCTTGATATCAATTCATACGCGCGAGTTCTGCGATTTTCCGTTCGTGACCGCCTCTGTCTCTTTCTCCTCGCGAAACGCGTTAATCTCCGTACGTGTACCTAGAACCGTCGATTATCTCTAATCTCGACAGAAGGGACGAGTCGAGCGGTTCCCATCGATACGAGATCCGCGGTATCTCTCGCTCAGTTTTTTTTTTTCGCAATCCGCAATTAATGAAGGTCGCGTGTAGAATGCGCGATATGGAAAATTAAATTAAACGCCTACCCACACGCCCGCGCGGAATTATTATCGTTGCTCTTTATTTGCACGGAGATTTCGCTCTTTATTTGCCGCACATGGAAGCGACAGGTGTGCTCTTCCTCCCCCGCAGGGATATATATATATATAAATAAAATAAATCGAGTCTCTTTCAGTGTTTTTGTGCATCCTGTCTGCGGCACTCGTTTAAAAACCGCACCGTAAATCGGGTCTACAGCCATGCTGATCAGAGAAATGAATATCCTGATAGTAAGTCCTCGACTAACAGCGGGTAACCGCTGAATAATTTCTTTCTATCGATCTCGATATTACTCAATTTCGATATTACTTTCTCGTTGTCGCAAGTCGTGCGAGGATTCGAATATTGTTTGCAACGATCGCGAACCACAGATACGCGACGGTAGCTTCAGCTATTCGCGCGCTACAGTTGAATCGTCTATATAATGCTCGACTTTCTATACCAATGTGGATCAATTTTAATCTCGGTTTACCCTTTATCTTCCTCCGGCTCTAAGAACCGGAGGACGATAAGAATTAGAATGTTCTAAGAATTACAGAGTTCTAAGAATTACAGAGAAAGATAAGGAGTTAAGTCAAAACCGAGATTGAAGATAAATCCTACATTGATGGAAAGTGACGTAAAGCGTATCTTCTAATTCAAATCTCCGCAAACAGACCCGATGTTTACAAACGTAAACGGGCGTTTACTCACACTTGACTCGTCGGAGATATGCGGCTTCCTTAACGACGGAGAGATCACGGAAACTCGAAGGCACTCGCGGCGCCTCGGACCCCACTTTAATTATTTCCCGTCGCGAATCGATCAGAACGGGGATTCGTTCGCGACACCCGACTTTACGAAACGCTCCCTGGCGCGATCGAATCCCGGGGTTTCCGAGTGTGGGTCGCGTAAGAACCCGAGTCACGTGCCTCAATTTTCTGACGTACGACGGTATATATACGGTATAGGACGTACGGACGGGCGGGCGGCCAAGTCAGTCAGTCACGCTCGGTCACTCACCTACTTCTGCCGAGCACCAAAGTCGCCAGAAATCTGCTGTCTTGAAACTTCAGCTGCTCCTCCTCCGTCGATATCGGCGCCGCGGCGCCCAGGGCGCCCGGGGCGCCCGATTTGCGCTGCCCCATGCTGCCTACGGTCCTGCAAACCGACACACACACACGTTAGGCGGGTTGCGTACCGCAGGGGACGAAGAAACTTCACGCGAGGACCATACAAGTGTTACACATATATATAATATAAAAGACATTACATGCATTTAGAAAGTTAGTCTGATCACTCTTTGCAACAAACGAATATATCGGAGATATATTTTGTTGCTCTTTTGTTTTTTATATTTTGTCAATTTTTTGACGCTAACAATGATTCTTCTTTAATTTCGTCCTCTTCTCTGAAATTAAAATACTGTACTGAATTGACAGTTAATGATTTTCGCAAATTACATCTTGAGAATGCATGAAATGCGTTCTTCGACGTTGCTCTTATTTTATCTTCCGGTCGATTCTAAGTTCAATATAATTAAATATTACATAATAAAGTACATATCAATTAAACGTAATTAATTAGAGGTATCGTTGTATTCGCGATGTGTATCTGTCTCGAGCCACCTCCCTTACAAAATTTAATATTGAGAATTACTTATTTTGAAGTAATTCTCTTCAAAGATATTTTGCACAACAGTGTTAATATTGGATTAACACTGTTGTGCAAAATAACGTAAATCACTACCTTCTAGTATTAAACTTTTGTAGGGGTCACACACGGGTCCGAAAACCCCGTTTTTTCAATGATCTCATTGATTTTGCGAAGGCCGAAAGGGTCTTTCAAAAGAGAGACCTGAACTTTAATGCGCGCGTGACGCGCGATTATTCGCACTTCGTGCCGAAGGCCCTGGGCTTCGAGCCCAGTGGAATATTTCTAAATTGGCGGTCAGTCGATTGTCACCTAAATATCTAGATGGGATAATCGGGCCCCTGAATTGGCCTTACCGGCTATTTTTAGCCACGGCGAAGGGGGTAGACCCTATTCCGCCGGCTAAAAATAATCCCGATGGCGTTCAACGCTTTGTCGCAGGCACATATTAGAAATGATCCTGATGCTTCCTTTCGACAATTCTTATCCTGCTCTCTCGGTCAATACGGACGGGAGAAGAGCGCCCTGTAAATCGTGAGAACGGATTCGAATTAATTCGGGGATGCGGGAACTTGAGACGCGCGAGTCCTGTTTTCCGACACTCAAGTTAACGGGTCTAATCTAATTCCTTATCGATTGTCCGTCATTCGGATTCGATCTTGAATTACGCGAGATTTCGCAGAAAGAAGAGATCACAAAAAAGATACGTGGCAACAGTTTCGAGAACGGTTTAATCCTCCAAAATCCGCAATGGTTGATTATATTATACGTGCCGGGAAGAACGCAATTTCAGCATGCGAATCTGCGCAGTTTTTCGAAATCGTTCGGTCCAATTTTAACGCGACGCGTGACATCATCCACCGGTTGTACCCCATCAACAAGAATCTTTCCTGTAGTCAGCGTCTCTCAGGCATCACCTGATTACGATTAACAGGTCTATAACGGTTTATCCCAAAGTAATGGTCTAATTATCTCCTCAAACACGAGAGGCTCGCGCGAAAATGACACCTGTGACGTTTTAGAGTGTGCCACCCCCCAAGCGGATTGCGATACCTTATTTTAGCACGTAGCCATTAACGCTCCTTTTCGCGTTTAGCCTCGTTTTATTTAAAGAGCTAAGCCAAAATATACACTTCATTTTCAAAGAGCTTCCTCAAATAGCTCGACAGGCTTCTTTCCACCTTTTTCATTATTAATTACTCGCTCTAATATTTCCATAATACTTCCTAATACTTTCATTTTCCTTTCTTTCTTATATAACTGTTAATACCCTCCTGAATTTTTTTTTAAATATTTTACTCTTACTATTCGACGTATGAAGAGTCAAGATGCTGAGATAAAAAAAAAATGGTTGCAATTAGCATAATTGAACTATAATACATATAGTCATTTTCGATGCCGACTGTAATTTGTTTAGTGGAACTAAATATAATTATTATTGCTACAATATTGTAGCAGTAATAATAACTATAAAAATGGAGCTACTAACCATAATTATTTTACCATGCAATTACAGTGAATATCAAACACTTTTCTCTCATTGCAATCGAAATAGCTTCTTGCGTTCAATTTATTGAGTTTATGCGAAGGCTCGAAATGTTTTCAAACAATTCCAGGCGGCGGGAAGACGGACGGCCATACCCGTCGTTTCACGCTTCATCCATTGTCTCTCGGAGAACGGGGTTCTCCTAATATTTGGGTTAAAAGTTTAACTCGCCGCCTAGAATTGCGATTTTAATTTAATTCGAAGCAGCGGACGTGTGCCCCGCCGCGTCATCTGCTGCCTACGTTCAGTTTACGTGCGGCCCCACGATACACTCTCTTCAAGTTTTCATCATTCCGTCACTTCCTCCGCCCCGTGTCGCGTCACGCGAACGCGAGCGCTTTCGCCCAATTTATTTTACTGATCTTTGCATTCAGTGCGCCTCTCCTCGCTCGATCTCGACACAATTTTCCACTTTGGTCCAGCATTCGTTGGTATCTTGTCCAAGGAAGAAACAATATTAACGTATTTTAATCCATCTTGATCGTAAATTGCAGCGAGCAATATGGAATTACCTTCTCCGGACAATTTCAAATCTCGTGAAGCTTGAACTCCAATATTTCTCTATAATTTTCAATCCTTCTCATTTATTCCGTACAAAGGGGTTTCTTATTCTCCCTTTAGCCTTTTCTCTTCAGTCGTGTCCTCTTCTTTCGCGGACTCCAAACGTCTTCCCGACTCCAAGCACCGCGCCCGACGAGAAAAGCCCCGAAGTTCAAATGTTCACGTTTGCTCGCCACGTCGAGAAACCAATTGCCCTCGACGGATGTCTGCCCGGCAGTGACAGCTCTCGAATGTGCATTCCGCGACATTCTACGCGGAGTCGCATCGCCGAACGTGTACATACTCGCCGATTCGTATACGAATTAATGGGACTGTCGAGCTGCCGCGGTATTTCTAGCGACATGTAGATTTATTGAATTGACTTTGCGATCGATCTTAGTCACCGCGCGTGTACAATTGAACAAACAAACGCGGCTATACCCGATCGCCGTCACTAGGCGGAATTGTGACTATTGTAGCCTCGGCGCTGCGTTTCAATTTGTTGACTATAATGTGGATCGTCCCGGCCTTGACGACAATTCCCCAATGTGGCATGTAAAACGGGAACGCGGGTCTCGAGAATCTTGAAGAACACGCGAATTTTCGATTTTCTCCTTTTTAAACTTTCGACGATTCTCTCAACACACCGAGAGGACTCATTTCAACATATATTATTCGACACGATAAATTACGACTCTTCGTTTCTGATATTGTAATTTAATATGCCCGCTATCTACATTGAAGCGTGTTGTGTAGCTCTAATAATATACAGTAGCGATAACAATCGGTCACATGTTCGAGCGGAATTGATTGGACGGTAAATGACCGCGTGCTTCTCCGAAGGATTTATATACCGATCTTCAATTTAATTTATTTATTCCTCTCCCTTCGACTTCGATGCGCGCCGGTGCGATTGTTCTCTTGTGTGTGTGTGTGTGTTCTCTTGTGTGCGAGATTTATTCTGTTCAGTTGCACACACTTCCATTTATCCGATACTGATTTATTTTCGTCTTTCGGTCTGCAATTAATGTTCATCGAATTAATATTTATTAATTATATATTTATCAGTGAGAGAGAGAGAAACTGTGTTGACGGTTTGATCTATAGTCATCTATACTCTTGTCAAAAGAGGTTGCATCTCACAGTTTTGTGACGTCCAGACATTTGTATACTCATAATTTACACTTTCAACGGTCCGTTCTAAATAGATTATGCTTCTCACGAAGGAGTATTCGAATTCTTTTCTTAAGATCGACGACGCTCTTGCTCCGTTTTAAGACCGACGATGCATTCGCTTCGTTTCAAGGCGTCCAGAAGGCACGATTAATTGAACAGTCCCGCGACGATTGTAAAATAATTAAGACCGGCCGCGCCGGGATTTTCGAAGAGTCGAGATTTCGAGTTCCGCTCTCGTTTGAGTTCACTTAACGGCGCTCCTCATCAATGGAACCTTTACTCGGCCCGCAAGCCCGAGGGTCAATTGCTTATTAACTCAAAGACTCGTAGCGGCTATTAAACGATTTCATTGTCATTGGAGTGGTTTGCAAAAAACGAAAACGGTCGCGGCTCATCCGGAAACGAACGTGCCTTCGATCGCTCAAACTTCCGTGGATTGAATTCACATGCGCTTCGTCACGAGCGAATTTCTTATGCAATTTTGCAAGCGGAAGAAGAGCCGTTTTTCCTCTCTTCGGACACGTTCTGGATGGTGCCACGCAAACATCGCACTTCGTAACTCGGGCATGCGTCCTTTTTACAGACGCCTTAAACGAGCCGCCGGAAACGAGGCAATTTGGCGGTCACATTTACGTCGACTTATGAAATTAGATCAAACACCGCTTGGAAACGATCTAAACAACGCGCCGCATCAGCAGACACTCGATGCTGTACAGCTGCATTCGGTGTATCATCAGACACGTCATCGTATACATTACTAAAAATTACCGTGTCATCACACGTATTATTATACATTGCAGAATCATATGGTTATCAAAGAATACACGAATTACATATTTTACGTATATCGTTTCTCTTGCAGAAACGTTCGAAACCGATTTATCCTTAAATGATTTATCGGTTCTGAACACTCAGTTTTAGCAGTCAAACCAGCAGAGAATCAAGTAAAAATAGATTATGTGATTTTAAATAATATAAAATTATAATAGGAACTAATTTTTCGTATTAAAATAAGAGAGAGACGCGCTTTTGAATTTTACTCTTACTTATTCTATTTATTTCTCTTTCTATTATACTTTGATTTATTTATATATTACGAGAAGCGTTCATATCTTATATTTAATTTAAAATTGACTATTTGATTTTTGCGTGACATTAAATATATTCGTTATATTAGGCAGATAAAGCTTGGGGTCCCATTCAGCGCGGCTATCTGATTTTCATGTCACGTTTGACATTTGAATGCCACCTTGATAGGCAAGTAAAACTCCAAAGCGGATGGTCGCATTTACGCTGAGAATACGAATCATAGTTCGTCACGATTTCGTCACCTTTTCTCAAATCAATCAAAATCAATTCTTTCCTTGAACTAATTTCAGCTAATATGTGACACTGACCAGTTTAGATATATTCATTTTTTAATATCCGAATAGAATCTTCAAAAGTTATTAATTTATCGCGAAAAGCATGCAATTCTCATCACTGCTCTAATACCTTTAAAAAAAAAAATTTAGGAACTATACTCATTCTCGTCAGATGTCCTTTGAGGAAATCTTTTTCGAGAAACTTTATCAATGAGAATACAAGTTAATCGCGCACGTGATCGATTCCCAATTGGTCTCACCTGGCGGACGTTGACTTTAGAGTGCCGTTCGCGTAGAGATCGGCTGCCATGGTATCGGTGTGTCAGCCCGATGGCATTCCGGTCTTCGTGGACGCTCCGAGAAATGTGGCGAGCTGCGATCTCGTCGATCTCGTCTCTTCCTCCCTTATACCGCGTCCTTTTCCCTTCGTCAAAAAATCGATGATATATCACACGTATATATTCGCGGTGGGGATTTCTTGGAATTCTCCTCACTGAAAATCGTCAACCTCGACCGGGCTCGTTCTCATCGCGTATATGAAACACCAATCGCCTCGGTCTAAACACGCCCGTCGTATCGACATTATCCCCATATCACAATACACGATACTGTATCGGCAGTTACCAGGCTCTTAAATTTAACGTACATACATATATATAATATATATACGTGTATCCTCGTCTATTTACCGCGATACCGCCGTAGACGACGACGTCAGCGCGATTTCGGGAACAGAGCGAGGCGGAACGTCGCGCGTGGCGAGCGCAATTTCGAGGGAACGACTGTCGCTCCGTCGGAGGAGACGTAGGATCATCCTGTGCCCGCCTCGTGACTGAACTATGTCAGACGGGGCACTGTCAATTGGATAACTACCTACCCCACATTGGCACAGCGTTGTCGCGCGCGTGTATGCGCGTAATGTGCAAGCGTATCGTTGATGCTGAAAGCCAGCACGTAGTCCACGTTCTCCCACTTCTTCCATAGATCACTTTATCTCCTTCTTCTTCTTCTTCTTCTTTCATGGGTACTTGTCTCTTTTGAGATATACAGCGCATCGTGTTTCCTCGTCCTTCCACCTTTCCTTTTCTCATTTCGTTCGAGCTCTCCTTTTCGTTCCAGTTCTGCTCTCTCGCGTTCGCAGCGAACGAAAAAAAGGCCGTCTGACATACAAAAAAAAACAAACAACTGATTTAAACCGATTTGAAGGCCCTGCCTTATCTCTCGTTCTTCTTATTTCGTAAGAGATCTATCGTCGATCCATCATCCGATTACTTACCGTGTTGCATCTATTAGCACTTATTGCCTCTGACGTTACTTGGAATCGAGGCTTTAAATGCCAACGGAGCTGGAAGATCACGTATTATCACGTGCGTATATTCTGTCGTCACTTCGGCAGCATGAATTAACTCGGTGACGCGGGAAGAATAATCCGTATCATACAGCGCGTCAGCTCAATCACGCCGACCTTGCGAATCAACTAATGCCGAATCTTCGCGGGAAAGCCTACAGATAAATTCGAAGGTTCTTATTAATTTGTCTATCATCCAAAATCACTTGTTTCCTCATTCTGACATCATGTTAAATATCCCGTCGATTAAAAAAAAATCTACGATTCGTAAACTTTACAGAAATAAATTTGTCGTAAATTCGCGCAAAATTTTGACTCGGATCTCTTTTGCTTTAGAATCAAGCCAGTCCTCTTCTAAACTGTTATCTCCAAGTGTTAAAAAAATAAGTTTTATGAAAATAATTAGAAATTAAATCGAACGGGATAAATTCTTGTCAATACTTTCCTATTTTTCAAATAGTCCTTACGTAAACAGAATTCAAATTTGCTGTCGAAACATTTTGTATTTGCGAAATATTGAAAATATAAATGTGAAATTTCACGTCCTTTGGGAGATTATTTTTCGCGGCATGATGAAAGGCAAAGGTTTGGCGTTACGGTTCAGAGGGCAAAGAGCGAGAGCGGAAGAACGTGGATCCACGGACGAGAGAAATTGGAAGTGCGTACATCGTATTTCACTCGACGTGCATGACAGACGGCGTGAAACCATTTCTCGCCAGTTGCAGTACTCTAAACGAATGACTCATCCTACCTCCAATTCCCACTTGCGGCGTCGACCCTCCGCGCGCGCGATTTACGCATCATCAGGTTTGATGGGTCGCTAAAGCTGCTGACTGAGACCTCCATCGAAGGTTTAGGCTTTATCAGTGACGCAACGTTATACTTAAGAGGCATTGACGATTCTGTGTCATTGATATAAAGAATAATCGGACGTGGAGAGATATGCGCGCGTGCATGATTCGTAATGCCAAATGGGATTCTCGAGGATTCTTCTTTCTACTGGGAAATCGACTTCGACTCGATCAGAACTGGAGCTAATCCGCCGTGTCACTCTGCAAAGTTTTTCAAGACTGATTGTGACCTTTTTTGCGAGAAATATTTAAGATCAGAATAGAAATTGATAACGTTTGTTCAACGATATCATATAATTAAAAAATTTGTAAAATTTCCTTTATTACTTGTTCGCTTATAAGGAAGTTGTACGTTTCGTTTGCAGATCGCCGAATTCTTTATCCTCAACCACGTGTCCTACGTGCTGAGTAGAGGATTAAATCTCACTCAGCTAATTAAGAGTCTTGGTCCTGACCTCGTTTACCAGAAAGCCCTACGTAACATACCGATGGAGAGAGACTTCTATCTGGAGGAATATTATGACGCGGAAAGCGAGGCGAGGGAACTGCGGCAGCTAAACAGAGATAACAGAAATTTGTTTGCCGTTAGTAAATCGTTTCTCATTCCCGAAAAGGAATAAGTTTCTCATTAAGAAACGTGTCAAAAAAATACTTAAAAAATACAGTTTTATGGAAATTAATAGGAATGAAATTCGGATGGGATAAATCCGAATAAATTCCTGTAAATTTCTTTCGATTCTATTTGCTGCGTTTAACGTTCATTCCTGATTTAATTTGTATTTGCATCATTTGTATATTATTTGTATTGAGATAAATGTCTACATTTCTTCTTTTACGATTCACGCAGGAATATCGCAGTCTTTGTGAAACAATAACGAAAAGAGTGGACTTGGATTCCGATGATGAATATGAATATCAACCCCTGCATTATCACGAAGTCTACTGTAAGGCCTATTCGTTGATGAGCGAAGAAGAACGAATGATAAAACCATTGGAACAGGTAAACTTCTACGGCACGCGGTGAAATACCTGTACATGAAACGGATTCAATAAAATGAATTCGAAGCGTCGCTTTTTTTTTATCGCCGCAGAAAATACGGGTTGACTAAAAGACTCAATAAATATTTAGCGTTGCAAGATGAATTACAACAATTTCCAAGAAATGATAAATCCGTCTAGATTTTCGTCGAAATAATTTCAAGTTCGAACGAGGAATGAGGAAACGAATTGTTTTTGTTTTATCTAACAAATGTTTCGACTTCATTTTGATTTAATACTTGTTTTTCCAGAAATGCGTTTACCCGGTATTCCACTGCGTGCAGAGATATCGGTCTTTATCTTTCGTCAGACGACATTGGGACAGTCAATGTTGGGAGCCGTACACAAAGGAAATCGCCAGCGGTTGCGACTGCATGTGGCCGGTCGCTTCCTTTGGCGAGATAAAGGAGCATTATTGATTTAGTAAAATTACGTTAGCAAGTTTCATCGTATAATGCAAGTATATGTCGCGAAACTCCGGACGCACATCCGCAACGAACGAGATCTTTCGTAAAAATATTTATTTATTGTATTATATAAACGCAAATGAGAGAAACGTAACAAGTGTCGCTAGCATCATCTTACCATGATCCAATCCCTTCTCTCCTACGTATCGTACGTATTTATTGCGCGTAAAAAACAACGTGGAATTAGTCCCATCTCTCTAAACTACGTTTTTTTTTCTTCCTGCGGTAGACTTATTTCCACGAGTTCGCCTTGTGCTTTGGTAAGAAATGGAATCCATCAGGCACTTTTCCGAGTAACATCTCACTGAAAAATAAATCGGAATCGTTAACGGATGTAGCCGACCGATTTGTTCAATCGAATGCATCGGGCTAGTAGCAGACTTACGATAATTTCACCCAATCGGCGCAGTTGGAACTGGCCATCAGCGTCTCCATATCGTCGCGACCTCTGTAGAACGGTGGTCTCTCGTTGATCCGCTGCGGCGGTCTCTCCAAAATTCCAACGGGAACATATCTGTGATGGGGCACAATGTGTGCGTATTAGAGAATATAATTATAAGTAAACATGAACTAACAGTAACATTACATCACTATTATAATCGCCTACAGTACAATCGTGGACACATCAGTTGCGGCACTTTTTTTTTTAAATAAGTTTCGAAACGCACTAATATTTTGCAAATGCGAACCACAATTGATGTACTATCTCTAGATTAAAGATAGCACACCATCATGGTTCGCATTTGCAAAATATTTTAATTACCTAAAATATATATTATATATATTAAATGTATATTAAAAACCTATGAAAAAAAAGGTGTTGCAACCGATATTATAACACATGTTGTGTTTACATAGCGGGAGTCTATAATATTAATGTAATATCACTATTAGCTAATATTTAACGGGACGTAATGCTTCAATAATCGGGAGAAATGTATTTCCTCTCGAGGCGAACTTGCCTGTGAAGGAAGGAGATCCATTCGAGCATGAATCTCCTGGTGTTCTCGACGCCGCGTGTGTCGGATCCCCAGTGCTCGAGCCCGTAATTCGCATACTTCCTGAGAATGTCGAATCTCTCCGCGCTCGATATGTCGATCAACTTTCTCTCCTTTATCTCGGTGAAGATCCACGGCTTGATAAGCGCTCCGCGTCCGATGGTGATGCCCTGCACCGTACTGTGGAGCTCCCTCATACGACGGTAGTCGTCGTAGGACAGGACGTCGCCGTTTCCGAACACAGGTATCGGCTGCGCCGCCGCCGCGCACTTCTCTATGTATTCCCAATCGGCCAGCTTCGTGTATCGCTGCTCACGCGACCTACCGTGAACCTGAAAGAATCGCCAAACCAAATAAGAGTTGTGAACAATAATACAGAAATAATTAGTTATTAAATATGTAGTACAATTCATTTAAATAATTATTTGAATTATAGTTATCTTTTTATCTTTTCCAGGGATAATATAATATATATAATATATATAATAATCTCTTTTTTAATTAATTTTCTGATTAATACACGGAGAGAATTTTCTTTTGAAAAAAAATTTACCCTGAAAATCATATTAATCGTAGGACAACATAGTTCGACAAATTTTATGTGATATATTTTATGATTTTCTGTTTTTTACTATGCACTTTAATAAATTTGTTGTAGTATATTAAAAAAAAATAAAAATAAAAATCACAAAATTCGTCGAAATATTATGTTGTACCCACGATTAACATGATTTTCGGGGTAAATTTTAAAATAAAATTCCGTGTATAACGTGAATTTTCTGGTAAAATGTAGCGTATACAAAATTAAATTTTTAAAGTTATCACAATACTTTTGAAGATTTTTTTCTCTCTCTGGACAAATTCTATTTTTCAGCGTACCGTGGTTTTCTCAAAGAAACCGGTTTAACAAGAAACGTAAATTCAACCGGACTTACTCACGGTAATCATAGACGCACCCCAGTCTCGAAACTTCGGCATTAGATTATGGGCGATCGGTTTGTCTATGTAGACCCCAGTTCTGGTCTTGACGGACAAGGGTATGTCCAGCACCTGGCTGACGGATTTGACCACGGTCTCGAGCACGTTCAATCGATTGAGCATACCGCTGCCGCCGCCCTTTCGGTAAATCAGATCGATCGGACACCCGATATTCAGGTCGATGTAGTCCACGTCGATCTCGCGGTTCAGCAGCTGCGCGCATCGCGTCAGCACGCCCGGATTGTTGCCGCACAGCTGCACGCCGAAGATGTCCTCGCTCTCGTGCCGCTTCACCAGCGCCCACTCCTCCTGCGTGCCCTTCAGGATCTTCGGCGCAAGTGCCATCTCGCCGCACGTGATGTCCGCGCCGTACTCCTTGCAGATCCGGCGAAACGGCAGATTGCCCACCGTGGTCAGGGGGCTCAGCAGTATCTTGTCCCTCCAGTCGATCGTCCTCTTCTCCGACTGTCGCGGCCTGATCAGATCGCTGTCGTCCACGGGTCCGAGTTTCAATTCCTTCGGTTGCTCGTGCAGGACATCGCGATCGTTGGAGGTGACCGTTTCCATTTTCACGTCGTCGCAAGCACGTTTCTCCGCCGTCTCGCCGTTGCTGCTGTCAGAAGCATTGGTCGCTACACCCGTGTGATTCTTCTCCTCCGCTTTACCATCCGAACTCGACTGCGGTCCCGGCTTTTTCTTGTTGGACGGACCGTTAGCCTTGACGATTGCCTCCGCTTTGGAAAAGTGGTACTTCCGCTTGCGCAATCTGTTCTGCAGGTCCTTGGACAAGTGATTCTTGATGGCCGGCGAGCACTTGCTGTACTCCTCGAACTTCTTCTCGTCGACGACATTGAAGCCGTCCTCGGTCAAGTGTCGCGCGCCCATTCTGCAGGTGATTCCCCTCGGGCATTTGCCAGTCAGATTGAAGGTGCAGCACTCCGTGCCTATGTCCTCCGGCTTGATCTTCAGGTACTCCTTCCGATCGTGCAGGTAGGTGCAGCGTGGATTCCCGCATTTCCTCGCGGGCTCCGTCGGCGTTTGATCCGCGATCGATGGGCACAGACTCTGTTCCCTGGAAACTTTGAACGGCGGCGGCCTCGCCTTATTCTGACCCCTGAGCTTCTCCCTCTTGTCGTCCAATTTGGGCTTCTTAACTGGTACCTCGTCCGATGACGCGTCTGCATCTTCCACGCCAGCGTCAGCGGATACCTTCTGCTTATCCGTCTCCGTCAAGCATTGTTCACTCAATTGTCTCACGTGGTCCTCGATAATAAACCTACAATGTTACAGACACATATATTGTAATATTATAATATATAGTTATAAAATAACAAATAGACAGTAGGCATTACATAACTGTTCTTTTCAGATACATATATTAAAATTTGTAAGCACAAATTTATTGGTAAACAATATTTCAAATAATTTTCTCAGAAAATCCATACTTAATAAAAACACATTTAACATTTAATATTGGATATTTAATTTAATATAACAGAATTTCATATTATTATAATTATAAAATATTAATTGAATAAAATTTGAGAACGACCGAGTTTTTCAATATCCTAAATAATTACAATTCAATGAAAATAAAGATTTTAATTATAAGATTAAAACAGATAATTGATAAATTAATAATTGTATCTGGAATTCACATGTCGGTGCATGTGAATTGTGAGCGATCTTTAGAGGTTAGGAAACGAATAGGCACACTTGCAAAGATATTCATATAAAATTCACTTGCTGCAAGATTAACGCAAGCCATTGGATAAACCTACGTACTCTTCTTTTATCAGGCAAACGCCCTTTTGCCTGTCTTCGTAAAGACTGGCGTAATCGAACGAACAGTCCCCGCATTTCTCGCCGTAATCCGCCATTTCCCCGCACGTGCAGTCGTGCACTACGCGTAGTCCGGCGGCAATCCATTCCGACGGTGTCAAGCAGACGTAAATCTATTCAATTTTTGAGAGCTAAAGTATTCACGGTTTAAGTTTAAATCTGCTGATTTAAAATTCGATGACTTCTCAAAATCACATTTTTTTTGCGATATCAGTCAATATTTAACTGATTATGTATTCTTCTAATATTTTATTATAGTTCGTTGAAAATTTAAATTTTTATATTTTTTTGCACGAAATACCGCCCGACGACTACTTGACCATCAGTAAACTCACAATATATCGGTAATTACGATACCGACGGTAATTTATCGGCACAACTTTTCTATCCGCGAAAATTTGAATTCCAAAAAATTTAGCGAAGTATCAAAAAGAATTATATACGACCAGCAAGCAATTAAATTACACTATTTAAAATTTTAAAAATTTTTCAAAAAGAATTCGAGATCTCAAATCACGACGACAGTCTATATAAAATTTTGAAAATCGACAAAGTGTGTAGAAGAATAATCAGCAGAGTTGCAGATTTACCTAAAAATCCAAGAATTTTTCAATATTTCCAAGAATTGCGATTTCAGAAATTCGAGATTTGCAATCGTAAAAATGAAAAAATTCGAAAATCGACAAAATTTTGTTCAGGAGAATGTAAGTCGAGACAAGGAAAATATAAGCAGCGACATTATTGAAATTTCTGAGAAATTTTTCCACATTTCTGAGAATTTAAAAAATTACAAACTGTCAAAATAAGGCTAAATTTTCAAGAATCAATAAAATGTAAGAGAAATATAATTTGTTAAAAAATTAAATTTGAAAAATGTAAAAAATTTGAAGAAACGGTTTTGAGTAAGAATGTAAAGAAAGTATAAAATTCTAAGCATTTTCAAGTGTTTCATAGACTCGAATTACTTAAGATTTCAATAAATCTGTGAATTTGCAAAGATTTAAATTCTTATACAATAAAAATTGGCAGCTCTATAATGGCTAATGGCTACATATAATAGTTTATTTTCAATAATATAAGTTGCCAACTCTCGCGGCAAAATCGTACCCCATAGATAGCCTTTACAATTCTCCAGAGATCTGTGGAATGATCTGGAATATCTAGATCAATGCGTGCTCCAACTTTCGTCGTTCTCTTACATCCTTACATCACATGAGGCAGTTGGGTTAGGTTAGGTTAAAGCCCCGTAGGCTTGTTGACTTCGTTAGTTCGTTCTGTTTATATTTCGCAGTCCTCGCCAGTCCTCGCATTTCTCCGCACGGGCAAGACCCTCCGTAGAGGAGTCTTATTACATGTAATTCGCGCAAGAACTCGATATACTGTAAAGTAAGTGTTGATTTTGCGTAAAATTAAAAATCTTCGTTTTAATGTTATTACTGCCAAGCGACGAGTGAACGATAAAATTGATAGTATTGATACCTTTCGAGTTTGTCATTCCTTGTCATCTTGCTGATCTTGCAGCTGATTATCGTGTTTATAGTGCGTTGACTTCAAGGTTATCACGCGACTTTTTCTTATTACTCACGAGATATTTACGAGAATGAACGTTTTGCAACGTAATGTTGCATCGATACACATTTATAATTGTATAATTTTTAGGAAGCTGTGTGCATTACATCGTGCAAGTGTTCATAATGAATAAAATAACAGATATCTCTTCGGACGAGGACGATCCGTACACAAATTCCGTGGCTCGCTTGAGAGGTAACACTTTCTCTATTTGCTATTTGCTACAGTTGTGACTTCATGACAACCTAACCACCAAGTACACCCCTTACAGAAATCCAATTCAATGCTGGCACATTTAACTGGAAATTATTTTAAATATTGAAAGCACTGTCGTTTAGTGCGTTTTACACTCAAAATAACTGAAAACAATGCTCTCAATATTCAAAATAATTAATTAATCACTATCTTCTATAGTATGAAACAAATTTCTGTAAGGGATTCTGGATTAAAAGATTGGAAACCCTTTAAAAATTGACATTTTTGGGAGTATTTACTCAAATATTCATAACAATGTATTTTTTTTTAACAATATATACTATTCTTCTCTTACTTCAATAATGATTGTTAAATCTGAGGAATTATTGTTCCTAAAAAATCACATTGTTATGGATATTTAAGTGAATAATTCTCAAAAAATGTCAATTTTTAAAAAGTGTGCTCAAACTTTGACCTGGAATGTACACTCGCTCACTAAACTGAGTCGACAAGGCACACAGGGGATA